AGTATTGACTGAAGGGGGTGTGTGGAAATACTGGAGCTTCATGGATATCAAACCACCTTCAATTTAGCAAAGTATCAACCAACACTTTGCCCCCTAGGCAAGGCTATTTCTGCTCACCATTCTTCTCTCACCCATAGCTAATTCGCCTTCGTTTGAAATTCTGCTTTATTCCAGCATTTCTCCAGCTGCTGTTCATTTGGGTCACATTGTGTGTTTAGATCTACCTTTCATATATATATATTTTAAAAAAATCTGAGCATGCTAGTTTACGAGAAGGTATAACCGCCAGCTTACAAAATATATTAAGTTCACTAATACTGTATGCTTTTAATGGTTTGGGTCTAAAACATCACTTTAAATGGAGCAGGCTTTCCTCCAAGGAAAGCAAACAGGGTTATTTCAGGAATAGCTATAACTGTGGTAGCTAGAGCAAATCCTTGGTCAGTTTCTTTTGCTGTGTGCACAGGATATCTTACAGTTTTTCTACAGCTCGTACCTTTGAATTCACCTTCGATCCCCTCTGGCGAAGGGCTATAAGTAACTGTAAGTAACTATAGAACCTTTAGAAGACATCTGAAGGCAGCCCTATATAGAATATTTTTTTTAATGTTTAATGTTTTATTATGCTTTTATATATGTTAGAAGCCACCTAGAGAAGCTGGGGCAGCCCAGTCAAATGGGTGGCGTATAAACATCATCATCATCATCACTGAATAGGACATCCCTATTTTCATCAGAGAAATGTTGGAGGGTATGGAGCCAGTGTGGTGTAGTGGTTAAGAATGGTAGACTCATAATCTGGTGAACCGGGTTCGCGTCTCCGCTTCTCCACATGCAGCTGCTGGGTGACCTTGGGCTAGTCACACTTCTCTGAAGTCTTTCAGCCTCACTCACCTCACAGAGTGTTTGTTGTGGGGGAGGAAGGGAAAGGAGAACGTTAGTCGCTTTGAGACTCCTTCGGGTAGTGATAAAGCAGGATATCAAATCCAAACTCTTCTTCTTCTTCTTCTACCCAATCATTGTCTTTCCTGCCTCAGGGTGTTAAGCAGGTGGGAGAGACTGAAGAGACACACTTCAGGTATTACAATGGACAGGGAAGTGGTTCCAACCAACCTGAGAGCTGAAGGAGGCTGAAAAGGAAACAAGTGTTTGAAAGGAAGCATGTAGTCATCTCAGCCAGCTATAAAGGGACACTTGAAAAGCTTGTAGCCTTGTTGAGATGTATAAGACAGAATCAGATAAGTGCTGGAGATGCAAGGAGGTTGAGGGAACATTCTTCATATGTGGTGGACCAGTGAAAGAGTAAAAGAGTATTGGGAAATAATCCATAATGAATTGAAAAAAAAATGTTTAAAAGTACTTTTTGTTGGGGATAATTCAGACGGAAATTCCCAGGTGTCAAAAAAGGTTATTTATGTATGCCACTACTGCAGCCTGTGTTTTGTTAGCCCAAAAATGGAAAACAACCGAGGTCTCAGCTAATGAAGAATGGCAACTTAAGCTGATGGAATATGCACAGCTTGCAGAACTAACATATAGAATAAGAGAACAAGAACATACGTTTAGAGAAGATTGGGAAATGTTTATTGAATATATGGTGTACACTTAAAAGGTTGGCAGCATTAAGATAAGTTCAACAGTGTAAATAAGTTTTGATGGATGCAATAATGGAATTCTGAATGGTTTAGTTTATGTAAAATATGCAGGGATTTATGGTATGCAAAATGAACGATGGAAAGAGAAGAAGGGGAGGAATTGATACTTTAAGCATTTTTAAATGAGTATTCTAAATTGTAAAAAAGAAAATTTAATAAAAATTAGAGTGGTACCTCGGAAGTCGAATGGAATCCATTCCAGGAGTCTGTTCGACTTCCAAAATGTTCAGAAACCAAGGTGCAGCTTCCGATTGGCTGCAGGAAGCTCTTGCAGCCAATCGGAAGCCCCAGTAGCCACGTTCACAAATCAGAACACTCACTTCCGGGTTTGCTGCGTTTGGGAGCCACAATGTTCGACTCGCAAGGCGTTGGGGATCCGAGGTATGACTGTATATATATACTGTACATATAAACTGCCACCTCTTTAGCACACCACTCAGAGGACTCAAAAATGCCTCTGTGTGATTTATCCATAGCTGTCAACCATCCCTTATTTGGCGGGAAAGTCCCTTATCCCAGCGCCGTTTCCCGCTGCTGTCCCTTATTGATGATATCCCTTAAATTTCCCGGGTTTCAAAGGAAGCAGCTCCCCTCCCTCCCTGCCAGCCAGGGAGGAGGGAGGCTCCAACTATGTTTCTTGGCTGCGTTGCTCACCCAATAAGGAGTCTAAGAACGACTGGGGGGTGGAGCTTGCGTGCCTTGTGCCAATCAAATCGGCCGCGTTGCCTGGGGACTCGCCTTTGCTCAGCGCTTCCCAGCAGAGAGGTGACGGTGGTTTTCCTTGCTGTATCCCCTTTGCCGGGTTGCTGCGCTGTGGGAAACACCGCTTGAGGCTTCGTTTGGCTGCTGGCTGGGCTTTCTGCCTTTGGCTCGGAGGGGCTCAGAAGTTGAACATACCTGTGCTTGGAATTGGATGGATACGTCATCGACGTCCCACTCACCCTTGCCGGGGGAAAGGTCTGTCTGGAGCAGGGGCACATGGTGGGGGAAAAGGAAAGGAGCTGGTTGAGTACAATGGTGGGCGGTGAACTCGTGGGGGGGGCTTTTGGATTTGTTTTGGAGGCTCCTTCGATTGACTGTTATGGGGGAAAGGAAAGGAGCTGGCTGACTAAAATCCCTTATTTTGGCTGCTGATCCCTTATTTTCGAGGCTGCTGGTCCCTTATTTTCAAATCTGTAAGTTGACAGCTATGGATTTATCACCAGAATGCATCCAGCTTTGTCCTGCTTCCAGCGTCTGCCACTTCAGAGGCGCTGTGCTCATACCACACCTAGAATCCAGAGATGCTAGCAAATGTTTTTGTCTCCTTTTCATTCCCTGCCCCCCACCCCTGGTATGTAACATTGACTGGGGCAGGTTGTCCCTAAACTACAATAATCAACCCAGAGGGGGTGGGTTTTATGGGAGAAATGCCTGCTCTACGAAGGACAAGTAAACACCGGCATTCCAGAAAGCGCAGTTGGGGATTCACATTCATTTCCTTTCCATACCACCGAAAGGCTCGTATTCTAAAACAAATCTGTTGTTTCACGTCCTGAATATGCCTTTGGGCAGGGCATCCTCCGACAGGGTGGAGCGTCAGATTGTTAAAAGGAAAACACTGGCTATCAGCCAGCGGAAATGTCATACGTTGCAGAGAGCCTGGTGCCATTCTGCTGTGATTCATGGACCCCTGCAGCATGACGTGCCTTAGGCGCCTGCAGACTGAGGGGAAGAGGAGAATGTGCTTTTCCACCCAGGCAAAATCGCTTTATTTCTAAGCACCCGAATATATAGCTTTAAATGCTGTGGGGGAGGAAGCACCCCCTGTGGTGTTTCCCCCTGGCCCTAAATGTCAAAGATTTTGTTAGACAGTTAAATATATATATATCTGAGAGGCATTTCTGTTAAGCATTGTTGACAGGGACATCCCGAAGGCCTTTAGGGAGGTATTCTTATATGCAATGGCCGCAGCTCGGACTTTGGTGGCAAAGGGGTGGAAGGAACAAGAAGCCCCAACAATAACAGACTGGCATTACAAGCTACAAGAATTTGCTGAAATGGCACAGTTCACAAATACCCTGAGAGGCAATTCAAAACAAAAGTTTATGGAAAAGTGGGATAGATATAAAACATATGTTCAAAAATACAGTAAAGGTTTGCTATCTATGCTAGCATTTGATTGACGTTGGAGTGAGACTGAGTTGAGAAATAAGACTAAGAGCACATATTGACACAATATAGGAATATATGAGATAAAATGTAAAGAAGTATACAATAATAAGAGTACATTCATTTGTAAAAAAAGGAATATACAACGGGATAGAAGGAAGTCTAGTGTGTTGGTATGTATATGATTTGGTGGGGATTTGTTTTTGTTTTTTCTCTTTGTTCTCTCTTTTTTTGGTTTCATTTTCTTTCTAAGTATATAAAATTTGTATACAATTTTTGTATACATGTTGGAAATTATATTATAGTAAGTCCTGTAATATGACAATGTTTACTGATGTAATATAAGAATGTTAACAAATAAATAAAATGCAAATTCATATATAAATGATGCATATATATATATATATGATATATATATAATGCAAATTCAGCTGATGCCTGCACCTGAGGATCCACACAGGTGAGGACCCTTCAGGCTCATGCCCCAGCCCGGGCTCAGCTGGTTCTGGAGGCGGGGACTCCTGTGCAGGCTGGGATTCCTCAGGTTCAGCCTCTGAGTCCGAATCCCAGGCCATCACAGTCTGTAACCTGAGGTACCACTGTAGTACTATTGCTTCCCTTGAAAGGAACCCTGAGAAATGGTAAGTCTTGCTACCCTCTGGAGCGGGAACCCTCTGGAGGAGGTCAGATCAAGACCTTGAACCCCCAAAACAGCAGTGCTCTTCACTACATTAATGATAAGAAGAAAACAACACGGGACACAATGTTTCTGAGATGCTTTTCAACAAGGGAGGTCCTGCCAATGTCTCCAGACACCTGGAAAATCTCTGGATATTTTCAGATACCAGGATCTTGTCCTCAGGAGCCACCCGGAAAGGCCACTGATTAGTTAATCAGTGCCTGCCCCCCTGCCCCCATACTAGTAAGCCATTCTCTCCTGTTTCTGCAAGCACTTGAGTGCTGGAACTTGTGGACAGACAACATGCAAGCTCTGGAAGTTTAACAAAATTAGAGCAGTTCAGCGAACACCCATATATTCAGCTGTGCCACAGTCCAGCATTTAGCCCAGTCGCCAAGGGAAGACACACTTGCCAGTTTCTGTGCGCTTGAGTAATAATTTAACAAGACTGATAGCCTTGGGTAAATAATCTGGGGACAAAGTTTCTCGGATCAAAGGCTTGCTCTGAGATTGGACTGGGAAACGCCATGGCTGACTGACCTTACAGAACGGCAAAAGGGTTCCTCTATTCCTATGGGCCTTTCCCCATCCATTCTAAATGAGGTGAGTATTTCATGACTGGCCGGGAAGACAAAAGAGCAAATATGCCGGTCATTCATTCAACCTGCTCTTTAGGAGAGGGGACCCCAGCAGATGTATCTTGGGTTTCTGCTGAATAATCAGGAAAGGCAATAGGAGGTTATCTCTGGAAACTTTTATCACTTCTTTTAGGCGGCTCAGGTTCACGGGCCGAAGATGTGAGAAAAGAACTCTGGAGACAGAAAGCAATTAGCAACTGATAGACCAAGATCGCTGGTCATATTGTGGCACACCATTGCTAATGCTATTTTGCTGAGGGTGGAGGTGAGGTTCAGTGCCAAATTTACGTATAAGCTAAACAAGCTATAGCTGAGGGCATGGGTAGGCAACCTAAGGCCCGGGGGCCAGATCTGGCCCAATCGCCTTCTAAATCCGGCCCACGGACGGTCCAGGAATCAGGGTGTTTTTACATGAGTAGAATGTGTCCTTTTATTTAAAATGCATCTCTGGGTTATGTGTGGGGCATAGGAATTTGTTCTTTCTTTTTTTCCTTTTCAAAATATAATCCGGCCCCCCACAAGGTCTGAGGGACAGTGGACCGGCCCCCTGCTGAAAAGGTTTGCTGACCCCTGGCTTAGGGCCTCACTCTCTTGGGGGGTCCCCAAAAAAATTAAAGGGGAAAGAAACCTGGATGTACATTTCCAAAATATAAGATAAAAAACAAATAAAATAAAACCTACATACAGTAACAGTGTTTCATGGCTCCTATGATGTACGTAAAGGGCCCCGCCTGCTAGCCTTCTCCCTAAAATATCACTGCTTTGCTCATTTCTATATATAGGGTACCTACATTTTGCATGAACTTTGCATTCTGCATAGACTTTTCAACAATTGCTTTGATAAAATACATATTCCATTATGTGCAAATGGCTTTAGATACCTATTAGGTCCATACATTATCATATAGCATATATTCAACACAAAAAATAGCAACAATTTGTTGTTGACAAAGGACAGCTGGACATAGAAAGGGCCCCATTACCTTCAGTAGCTTAAGGCCTCATCAAACCTAAATCTGGCCCTGGTGAGCTTAGTTAGCAAGGAAGCAATTCTATGGCTCCAAGACAGCGAGCTGAAGGCCAGACTGGATCCTATAGACCTCCCTCTCCCTGGTGCTTCCACCTTCCCAACAGTGGATCATGTACCGCAATGGTGGGGGCACAACAGTAGTGAGATTGGAGTTGTGTGGGTGCACAGGCAAAGTCAATCCTATGCTTCTACCATTGCACTCACAAAGCCCTGGCACTGACATCCTGGTAAGCTGCAGGAACCTCACTGTCAGGAGAGCAGGTGGCGCTGTGGTCTAAACCACTGAGCCTCTTGGGCTTGCCAATCAGAAGGTCGGCGGTTCGAATCCCCATGATGGAGTGAACTCCCATTGCTCTGTCTCAGCTTCTGCCGACCTAGAAGTTTGAAAGCACGCCAGTGCAAGTAGATAAATAGGTACCGCTGTGGCGGGACAGCAAATGGCGTTTCTGTGTGCACTGGTTTCCGTCACGGTGTTCTGTTGCACCAGAAGCGGTTTAGTCCTGCTGGCCACATGACCCAGAAAAGTGAGATGAGTGCCGTACCCCATAGTCGCCTTTGACTGGACTTAACTGTCCAGGGGTCCTTTACCTTTACCTTACCTAGTACAGCATCACCCTACCCCCTGCATGGACCTTTCCTACTTCAAAGCTTTGATGTGTGAGGCACTGCAGAATTCCACCTTGTGCCCCATCCTTTTTAACACCTACCTGTCACAGACTGGTTGGATGCAGAGGAAAAGTGGCAGGTACCAGCCGGGGAACCACCAAGGGAAGAAGGCTCTGAGACTGGGAAGAGGAGGTGGGATGACAGTGAGTGGTCAGAGGGAGAAGACTGGGGAGAGGTGGTGTTGGAAGCTGAAGAGGTAACAGGGCTTAGTGAGCAGAGAGAGTCTGTGGCAGAGAGAAGTCCGGAATCAGAGCCAGAAGCTGAAACAGGAAAGTGCAAGGAGGGTGGCCAAGAAGCAGAGATGAGTCTGGCTGGTGAAGAGTCACAGGTGTCTCCCCTTCCTTCTGAGACAAGCTCCCCTCCTCGCTTGTCTCCCAGAACCAGTAGAGGGCTGAAACGGGCAGAGGAAAGGTTGGCTGCATCCAGAAGCAGTCTCTGATTGCTTGGGGAAATCCCTGGAGAGGCGAGGACCTAGATGGCAGGGACTTTCAGTTTCGGCAACTGGAGTAAGACCACTGGGAATAAGCTGCTCTGCTTATTAGGCCTGACACTCAACCAAGTCTGTGGAAATCGTGGTTTTGCTAATATAGAGTTAACTCCAACTTTTAACTGTGTGATTACTGACTGACATGCTCCTGTGACCCTACCTGATGCTTTTTGGAGAGATCATCTGGAAATTTGGAGTGAGGTGTCTATCATCAATGTACCTATCATTTACATCCATAGTCTAGCTCAGGGGTCAGCAAACTTTTTCAGCAGGGGCTGGTCCACTGTCCCTCAGACCTTGTGTGGGGCCAGACTATCTTTTGAAAAAATAAATAAATGAATGAATTCCTATGCCCCACAAATAACCCAGAGATGCATTTTAAATAAAAGCACACATTCTACATGTGTAAAAACACCAGGCAGGCCCCACAAATAACCCAGAGATACATTTTAAATAAAAGGACACATTCTACTCATGTAAAAACATGCTGATTCGCGGACCGTCTGTGGGCCGGATTTAGAAGGTGATTGGGCTGGATCCGGCCCCTGGGCCTTAGTTTGCCTACCCATGGTCTAGCCTTTCATTGGTGTCAGTTATTACAGAGCCCTAGGAACCTACTCACTTCTAAACTGTCTCCACCAAATGAATAATATATAAATGTTTCGTGTGCATTCCCCGCCCCCAGATGCTTGAAGACCTGAGGTGTGAAAAGCATCCAGACTGTACGGCTAAATAGGCACTTGCAATTAAAGAGTGTGTATGGAAATCAGAGTGAGAAATTCAGAACCAAAAAAGAAAGTGGATTCGTACAGGCTGATGAGAGGTTTGCTGTGATTGTTTTCTCCCCTTGAGAGATTTCAACTGGTGCAAGGTTACATCCACTTAAGAGGCAGTGATCCGCTATTCATATCAATGTCAGTTTTGAAGAACTCTCTGAGCAAGAGCAAGCATTGACTGACATGCCACAGATTAATTTGACTTCTGTGTTGATCTGGCAAAGACAGCTCTTCTCTTTCCCCCTCTGATATGCCAATGTCTTTCATCACAAGTCCTGTCACAATGCAGAAATCCTGACAGAAAACACATTCCTCCCCCCCCCCCGACATCTTTATTGAAAGTTTAAAAATTCATAATTTTAATTGAAATTGTTCTGTGTCCGGAATGGTTTGTGTTTTGCTTTGTTAGTTTTATGTTTTTCTTTTTTTCCCTTTTTTTGTCTTTCTGTGTTGTTGTGTTTAAATGGTTGAAAATTAATAAATATTATTTTTTTAAAAAAATAAAAATTCATAATTTTATGTGCAGTAAACATGGTGAGACATAAATAAAAGAGAGAAAAAGAAAAAGAGAAACAGCACTCATGTAGAAGGGAAAGTAAAGGGGACAGAATCCAAAACTGTATACTTCACAAAGTTGTTATTGTACTTCACAGAAAACGTATTCCTAATGGTTACTTTGCTTCTCAAATAAGGTGGTCTAGCCCCTCATTGAAGGGATCTTTAGAAACTTGGCCCTCCAGATGTTTTGGGACTACAACTCCCACCATCCCTAGCTAACAGGACCAGTGGTCAGGGGTGAAGGGAATTGTAGCCCCAAAACATCTGGAGAGCCAAGTTTGGCCATGCCTGCTAGACAAACCTTAGCTGTCATATCTAATGTAACTGGCTTAGCTCTAAGAGGGTAAACTTTGCCTGCGCAGTGTCACGTGTCTCTGAATGTTGTTTTTTTCTAGTTTTATCAATGGGCTAAGGATGTTTTATCAACGAGGAAGCATTTCATTCAGTGCCTTCTAGAGAAACCTCCAGACTGGTCTTTATTGTGGGATGCTGGTTCCTTACGCACGCACGTTTTTTGCAGCATCAATGTGATGTTGTCAGCATCAAAATGGCATCCTGTTCCCCACCCCACCCCACCCCCATTTTATCCTGATTTATCCTTTCTAGGGAAATCTGATAAATTGTCAGCTGGCCCATTTGTGATATCTCAATAACCTTTCTGCAAATTAAGCCCTCCACCTCACTCCTGCCCGTACCTTTCAATCTAGAAGCACACTAGGATTATTGTCCTCAATCATATCACCACAATGCTCCCACCTAGGATATGAAAGAAAAGATTTTATATTAAACAGGAGGGTCTAACTACAGCTGGAAATTGCTAATAGAAACATGTATTTGGTACTGCAATCGATCTGTTGCTAGAACTGAATTTTAAATGTGTTCGAAATACAACTTCCTCCTTCCTTCCTCGCTTTCCTCTGCAGTGGTGTTTGGAAGGAGGAAGGCTTTTTTCCTTTTTTTTTTCAAGGCAGGGAAATTAACAGTGTGCCAGGGCACTGGGCACAAGGTGACCAGGGGAAGGTGGCATTTCCTGGGCAATTCTGTCATGCCGCTCAGGAAAACTCGGCAGACTACCAGCTTCATTCTGCAGACCAGTGCATATTTCCTGCCAAATATAGGACGGTCATTCACAGAGGATTCATAGGATATCCATCTTTTGTCTTTAAAAGAATATATGGTTTACTAAACACTGGAAAAACCCCGTTCCTTTGCTGTGAACTTTAACATGTTTTTTCCCCTTCTATCATATCCTGAGCCCAGCCAGTAATTAAAAAATCAGATGAGGGTAAAGGAAAGCCAAGCAAAGAGTTATATTAAGACAGGCTTCCTCAACCTCGGCCCTCCAGATGTTTTTGGCCTACAACTCCCATGATCCCTAGCTAGCAGGACCAGTGGTCAGGGATGCTGGGAATTGTAGTCTCAAAACATTTGGAGGGCTGAGATTGAGGAAGACAACAATTTGAGCCAAAGGAATTGCTCCCATTACATCTTGGGGCACGGCCCAGCTTTTCATATGGACAAAAAACATCTCTTGATGCCCTCCGTTATTTGTACACTCCCCTCCAGACCGTGTCAGATGGCCGCCCAAGGCTACAGAGGCCAGCTGGAGAAAAGTGTGAGGAACAACAAGGTGTTGAAGGAGATCTGTTTGTGTTTGTTCTCCAGCACAGTGGGGAAGAGCACTGTGGCACTGCTTAATTGTTGGTCTGAACATCCCTGACTGGTCCCAAGACACTATCTATACTCCAAATGGTGGTTCGCATCGTCCAACTGGGCACATTTATAGACCTTGTGTGCCTATTTTCCAGGGACAGCCCCCGATTTACAGAAACTGTCCCGGTTTCTGATTTGATCCAAGAACATCCCGCTTTTCCACAGGACGTCCCTGACACGAGTCAGCTCCTCCTGAAATTTACCTCAGGAAATGGGAAACATCACTAAGCATTCCGCTTGAGTCCCATAAAGAAAGCTTCTCAGCTTCTCAGCTTTACCCAGCCTGCTTACCACCACCACCCCCGAATACCTGGCACAGGCATGGCATTTCCATCAGAGAAAAGTTGGCGCGTATGGAGTTATGCAACTCCCGAGTCAAGGAGATAAGTAACTGTACAACCTTTAGAAGACCTGTGAAGGCAACCCTGTATAAGGATTTTTTTTAATGTTTAATGTTTTATTATGTTTGAAGCCACCCAGAGTGTCTGAGGCAACCCGGTCAGATGGGGGGGGGGGATAAATAATAAAATTGTTATTGTTGTTGTTATTGTTATTGCCATCATCACTATTATGGAATAGGACGTCCCTATTTTCATTGGAGAAATGTTGGAGTGTGTGCATTTATCTCAATAAACCTAAACCCTGAAATTAGCTCAGCCCTCACAATCTCATAAATGTCAGGAATTAATCCCTGCCTCCTCCCTGCACTGCATTCTAGAGATTCTTTTCCTTATCAGGTCTAGAAATGAGAAACCTAACATTAGATGCCACGGAGAACTCCTCTCATCTCTTCTCAAGGGTCAGGGCTGAGCATTACATACAACCTTTGGACAAAAATGCATGGCAAGGACAGGAGAGCAAAATTGTGCTGACTATATTGGCTATTGATGTTTTTTTTCTCTGAGGAATTGTTAGCCCTTTGGCCTTGCGTCATCATTTCTCTCAGGGCTGCTGAAATGAAAAGTCTGCTTTGTTTGGTAATGGCTATGACTGTTAGCCATCGACTCCAAAAGCAACCTTCTTCCACGATGCATTTGCTGTGCCAATTAAATAGCTGGAATATAACTCCTTTTGGTGCAACCCAAACGCCACTTTCTGGGGTAACAAAAAAAATATATTGCTGACAGATGGCTCGTGTTGCTTTGTGATATTTTACCTTCACTGCTTTGTGATATTTTACTGGAGTTTATTTCTTCCTGGGTCAAAAGGGTTGGCGAAAAGGCTGGACCACAACTTGCCAAATTTCTTTCGAAATAATGAGGATGATGGAAAACGAGCGAGGTCCCAACTAAAGAAGAATGGCAACTTAAACTGATGGAATACGCACAGCTGGCAGACTTAATTTACAGAATAAGAGAACAAGAAGAATGTACGTTTAAAGGAGAGTGGAAAACGTTTAATGAATATATGGGTGAAAATTGTGTACGTTTGAAAACGTTGGCAGCATTAGGACAAATTCACCAGTGTAAATAAGTTTTGATGGATGTAAAAATGGAATACGGAATGGCTGAGTTTATGTAAAATATGCAGGGATCTATGGCATGCAAATTGAACCATGGAAGGAGAAGAAGGGAAGTCCCTGATATTTTAAGGTTGTTCAAATGAATATTGTAAAATAGAAAATAGAAAAACTTCATAAAAATTACACAAAAGAAAATGAAACAATGAGGATGAGGCTATTTGAATTGCCTGCCATTTCTCTCTCCTTTGTGTGTTGCTAGCTCTTCCTATTGCTGGCCTCCGTGCCTTCCTAAAGCCTACAATCCCAGAGACATCACAGCCATCATGTCTGGAAGCCTCTCATATCATAATTCTCCATGCATTTGTCGAATCCCTTTTAAAATCTATCACCACCTCTTGTGCCCTGTGAAGAAGTACTTCATTTTGCCCATCCCAAATCTCCCACCATTCAGTTTCATTGGATGTTCCCACTGGGGTCCAGTATTATGAGAGGGAGGAAAACATCTCTATTCATTTCTTTCCTTTCACTTTCTCCAAATCATGCATGATAGTTTAAACCTTGATCATCTTCCACAGTTGATCCTCAGATCGTCTGAACTGAAAAAGGCCCACAAATTGTAAGCTTTCTGCTCCAGTTCCCTGATCACTTTGATTATCTTTTCCTATTCTTTTTAGCCCTTTACAATATTCTTTCTGTGATGCAATTTCCAGAACTGTATGGAGAATTCTAAGTGTGGTTGCACTATGGATTTGTATTAAGGCATTATGAGACAGACGGTTTTGTTTTCAGCCTCGTTCCTAATGATCTCTTAGTATGGAATTTGCCCTTTTCACAGCTGCCACACACTGGGTCAATGTTTTCCTTCAGCTTTGCACCATGACCTCAAGATTCCTTTCCTGGCCAGTCACTGCCAGTTCACATCCCATCAGCGTTCGTGTGAAATTAGGATTTTGGCCCCGGTATACATCACTCTACAGTTTATACTTAATTACACTGGACCCCATTTGCCATTTTTATTGTGCATTCAACCAGTTTGGATAGATCTTTCTTGAGTTCTTCACAGTCCCTTTTTGTTTCCATCGTCCTGAGTAATTTGGTACAACCAAAACCACAGCCAGCTCACCCCTAACAACAGATCATTTACGAGCAGTTTAAAAGTATTAGTCTCAATATACATAGATGGGGAACCGTGCTTCTTATATGGCTCCATTATGAGAATGGCATTTATTCCTATCCTCTGAAATGAGAACATTTTCCCAGCTTCAAATCAGTAAAATAATAATAATTTGTTTGTTTGTTTGTTTGTTTGTTTATACCCCACCCATCTGGCTGGGTTTCCCCAGTCACTCTGGGTGGCTCCCAACAAAATAATAATAATAATAATAAAGCGATAAAACACAGACATTAACAATTTCCTGATACAGGGCTGCCTTCAGATGTCTTCTAAAAGTCAGATAGTTGTTTATTTCCTTGACATCTGATGGGAGGGCACTACCGGGAAAGCCCTCTGCCTGGTTCTCTGTAACCTTACTTCCTGCAGTGAAGGAACTGCCAGAAGGCCCTCAGCGCTGGACCTCAGTGTCTGGGCAGAATGATGGGGGTGGAGATGCTCCTTCAGTTATACTGGGCAGAGGCCATTTAGGACTTTAAAGGTCAGCACCAACGCTTTGAATTGTGCTCGGAAACTTACTTAGCAGTTTACAGATGGGTAGCATCTGATAAAGTGGAATGTGGTCCACAAAGCTTATGCCTTAAGAAATTTGTTGGTTTTTAAGGTTCCATAAGACTCTTTGTGGTTATTCTCTCATTTATCTGTCCATAAGGTATCTGTCCTCTCATCCCATGTTTGCTGAGTTTTCTTCATAGCCTTTGGTGAGGGATGTTGTCAAAAGCAGATCTACTGGATCACTTCAACCTACATGCTTGTTAGCACTCTCAAAGAACTCTAGAAGGTTTGTGAGGCAGGACTTGTTGATTCAGGGTTTCATGTGCATCCTGTTCTGCACAACCATTCTCCAGACAAGACCACCTTGAAGTGTTCACCATCCTTATGATGAAACTTGGGACAGGTAGATGTTTAATACTAATCCATGAAAGAGCACCAGCTCCTGGGACACCTGCACAATTTCTCTGAGAGAAGCACCATTTTTTGCTTATTCTAAGAGCAAAAGAAATCTTTCAAAGGAATCTAGCCATATTGTTCATCATTGAATAATAGACTGACATTTCCTTGTATCATCAATCAATTTTACAGACTTCTTGTCTTTAAATGGCTAAATTAATTTAGCAGTGTCTCCTTTTTTATTATTATTCATCTAAACAAACCATTCTTTTTTGTGTTGCATGCTGGCAAATACATCAATTAGTAGCAATCTTATATGCTGATCTTTTGCCCTATCAAAATGGGATTGTTTCTCTCAGTACCATCCTCTGAAACCTTCCTGAAGAGAAAACAACTGTGTGTACAGCTAATAACATTTGATTATCTATGTGCATGGTGGTTGTTTCCTCAGAGAAACCAGACTTCTACTAATAGAGAAAGGGAGCGAGAACCTCTTTGTTCCATTTTCACAATTTCAGCATCAACATTTATTCATTTATTGACGTATTACATTTATATTCTATATTGTCTCTAAGGACCTCCTGAAGATGAACACTGTTCTTCCCCTCTCCATTTTATCCTCTCAACAAACCCGAGAGGTAGGCTAGGCTGAGAGACAGTGACTGGCCCAAGGTGTGCCCATAGCCAATAGCTATCACTAGACCTATAGTCATCTAAGTCGTTGGGCATTGTCATGAGGCAGGGCACGTTGGTAGTCATAGCACCACGGACAGCTCCAAGTGAGCAACGTGTTCCAACAAAGAACTGAGGCTTATGAGTCTCTTCCTCCAGCCTACTCTTCCCAAGCTCCACACTGAATGTGGATCTTAAATGTGGCACTGCCTCAAGATGATGAGAGCCTCATCACTCTTCTGTGGCTTTCTGCCTGGCACACTCTCAGCACTGGAGGGCAGAAGGCACTTGAGTTCTCCTTCTGTGAAGTGGTCTTGGTTCAGGAGCTGCAAGCTCCAGTCTACCAACCTCAGCACTGGGATCTTGACCCAGCTCCCCACAGCAATCCGAAACTCTGTTGGCTCACCCTCAGATTCTAAGTTTGAGGCTAGAGCCACGACAGTGCCAATCACTGTGTTTTGTGACAATGAAATCTCCAAGTTAATTATGCATTGTGTGAAGTGAAGTGGGCAACCTTCCTCTGCCAAGCGGTTTGCATTTGTTCTTCTTCATTTGCCTCTGAAAACATAGGAAGTCTAAGATGGGAGAAATTGCTAAAAAGAAAAAAAAGAAAAAAGTTGGGGGGATATCAATGTAGTACCAGAACAAAACTATGTGATTAAACACTGAACTCCAGATTTTGGAACATCTAAACATTTTAAGCACATTTCTTTGGATCACCTTCTTCAATCATCACAAATCCCCAAAGCATTTAGTACCACACTGCTTATGTAAGAATTCCTTAGGAGGAGAAAGCTGACCTTAAGTTTTTAGGAGGTTCTGGTAAGAACAGAGAACTGTGCAGTTTTCCCCAAATATAAGATACCCAATGTGTGATACAGCACAAGACCTGACAGGGTCAAGCAAGAGATGGGGGGAGGATCATCAATCTTTTTTATAAAGACCAATTTAAAAAGACAAATAGAGTAAGGGAGAGAAAGCTTTTTTTAAAAAAAACCAACCACTCCCCACCTTTTGAGCCTTAAAATATTCCAATGCATTTTTTTTAATTCCATAAATTTCTGCTGTAGTCAAAATAAACAAACACTCCTTATTGTCCTGTAACGCGCAATGCAGTTTAACAGTGACCATATATGGACGCAGTGGTGCGAATTAAATTTACTCGGGATCCATAGATACATGCTATAGGCCTCTGGGAAAGTACTTACCAGCACAAACGTTTTTTGCAGACATCTTCCTCGCCTCGATCATTTGTAAATGCACTTTCCATCCACACCGGTCCCACACTCACAGAAAGTTAGCTGACCAATGGTGTGCCTGCTCTGGGCACCAGTTACTGGCACGCTAATGCTGCCTTGCGTATGTACTGGCCATGGGTGCCAACTCCCTGGGGCTCTGGCTTTCCAAGCACCCACAGAATTCCTCATGAAGGGGCTAGGTAAAGGTAAAGGTAAAGAGACCCCTGACCATTAGGTCCAGTAATGACAGACTCTGGGGTTGTGGCGCTCATCTTGCTTTATTGACCGAGGGAGCCGGCGTACAGCTTCCGGGTCATGTGGCCAGTATGACTAAGCCGCTTCTGGCAAACCAGAGCAGCGCACGGAAACACCGTTTACCTTCCTGCCGGAGTGGTACCTATTTATCTACTTGCACTTTGACGTGTTTTCGAACTGCTAGGTTGGCAGGAGCAGGGACCGAGCAACGGGAGCTCACCCCGTCGTGGGGATTCAAACCGCCGACCTTCTGATCGGCAAGTCCTAGGCTCTGTGGTTTAACCCACAGCACCACCCACGTCCCACGGAGGGTGTGGTAGGACATCCCTATTTTCATCGGAGAAACGTTAGAGGGTATGAGTTTATAAATTGTATACTGTATTTTTTGCCCTGTAGGACGCACTTTTTCCCCTCCAAAAATGAAGGGCTAATCTGTGTGCGTCCTATGGGGCGAATGCAGGCTTTCGTTGAAGCTTGGAGAGTGAGAGGGGTCAGTGCGCACCGACCCCTCTCGCTCTCCAGGCTTCAGGAAGCTATCAGCAAGCCTGGGGAGCCCGCGGGAGTTCCCGCAGGGCTCCCTAGGCTGCGGATAGCAGCCTGCTTCCCGGAGCGCGGGGAGCGGTGAAAGCAGAGCACCCGGCGCTTCGGGAAAACATCGGGCAGCCCCACAAGCTTGGGGGACAGCGGGGAGGCGCAGCGCCGCCATCCCACTGTTCCCTGACCTGGTATGGAGGCTGGCTCTAGGGAGAAGCACGTTTCTCCCCAGCGCCAGCCCCACAAGCTCGGGGGACAGCGGGGAGGCGGACCGCCGCCATCCCGCTGTTCCCCGACCTGGTTTGGATTCCCCGACCTGGTTTTGGGGGGGAAATAAAGGGGGGAATTC